GCAGTAGTCCCTTTTGGCAGTAGTCTTGTCATGTGTGGCAGTAGTCCCCTGTGGCAGCAGTCCTGTCATGTTTGGCAGTAGTCCCCTGTGGCAGCAGTCCTGTCATGTGTGGCAGTAGTCCCTTTTGGCAGTAGTCCTGTCATGTGTGGCAGTAGTCCCTTGTGGCAGCAGTCCTGTCATGTGTGGCAGTAGTCCCTGTGGCAGCAGTCCTGTCATGTGTGGCAGTAGTCCCTTGTGGCAGTAGTCCTGTCATGTGTGGTAGTAGTCCCCTGTGGTAGTAGTCCTGTCATGTGTGGCAGTAGTCCCCTGTGGCAGCAGTCCTGTCATGAGTGGCAGTAGTCCCTTTTGGCAGTAGTCCTGTCATGTGTGGCAGTAGTCCCTTGTGGCAGCAGTCCTGTCATGTGTGGCAGTAGTCCCTGTGGCAGCAGTCCTGTCATGTGTGGCAGTAGTCCCCTGTGGCAGCAGTCCTGTCATGTGTGGCAGTAGTCCCTTGTGGCAGTAGTCCTGTCATGTGTGGCAGTAGTCCCTTGTGGCAGTAGTCCTGTCATGTGTGGCAGTAGTCCTGTCATGTGTGGCAGTAGTCCCTTGTGGCAGTAGTCATGTCATGTGTGGCAGTAGTCCCTTGTGGCAGCAGTCCTGTCATGTGTGACAGTAGTCCCTTGTGGCAGCAGTCCTGTCATGTGTGGCAGTAGTCCCTTGTGGCAGTAGTCTTGTCATGTGTGGCAGTAGTCCCCTGTGGCAGCAGTCCTGTCATATTTGGCAGTAGTCCCCTGTGGCAGCAGTCCTGTCATGTGTGGCAGTAGTCCCTTTTGGCAGTAGTCCTGTCATGTGTGGCAGTAGTCCCTTGTGGCAGCAGTCCTGTCATGTGTGGCAGTAGTCCCTGTGGCAGCAGTCCTGTCATGTGTGGTAGTAGTCCCCTGTGGTAGTAGTCCTGTCATGTGTGGCAGTAGTCCCTTGTGGCAGCAGTCCTGTCATGTGTGGCAGTAGTCCCCTGTGGTAGTAGTCCTGTCATGTGTGGCAGTAGTCCCCTGTGGCAGCAGTCCTGTCATATTTGGCAGTAGTCCCTTGTGGCAGCAGTCCTGTCATGTGTGGTAGTAGTCCCCTGTGGTAGTAGTCCTGTCATGTGTGGCAGTAGTCCCCTGTGGCAGCAGTCCTGTCATGTTTGGCAGTAGTCCCCTGTGGCAGCAGTCCTGTCATGTGTGGCAGTAGACCCTTTTGGCAGTAGTCCTGTCATGTGTGGCAGTAGTCCTTTGTGGCAGCAGTCCTGTCATGTGTGGCAGTAGTCCCTGTGGCAGCAGTCCTGTCATGTGTGGCAGTAGTCCCTTGTGGCAGTAGTCCTGTCATGTGTGGTAGTAGTCCCCTGTGGTAGTAGTCCTGTCATGTGTGGCAGTAGTCCCCTGTGGCAGTAGTCCTGTCATGTGTGGCAGTAGTCCCCTGTGGCAGTAGTCCTGGCATGTGTGGCAGTAGTCCCCTTGTGGCAGTAGTCCTGTCATGTGTGGCAGTAGTCCCTTGTGGCAGTAGTCCTGTCATGTGTGGCAGTAGTCCCTTGTGGCAGTAGTCCTGTCATGTGTGACAGTAGTCCCCTGTGGCAGTAGTCCTGTCATGTGTGGTAGTAGTCCCCTGTGGCAGCAGTCCTGTCATGTGTGGCAGTAGCCCCTTGTGGCAGTAGTCCTGTCATGTGTGGCAGTAGTCCCTGTGGCAGCAGTCCTGTCATGTGTGGCAGTAGTCCCTTGTGGCAGTAGTCCTGTCATGTGTGGTATTAGTCCCCTGTGGTAGTAGTCCTGTCATGTGTGGCAGCAGTCCTGTCATGTTTGGCAGTAGTCCCCTGTGGCAGCAGTCCTGTCATGTGTGGCAGTAGTCCCTTTTGGCAGTAGTCCTGTCATGTGTGGCAGTAGTCCCTTGTGGCAGCAGTCCTGTCATGTGTGGCAGTAGTCCCTGTGGCAGCAGTCCTGTCATGTGTGGCAGTAGTCCCTTGTGGCAGTAGTCCTGTCATGTGTGGTAGTAGTCCCCTGTGGCAGTAGTCCTGTCATGTGTGGCAGTAGTCCCCTGTGGCAGTAGTCCTCCCATGTGTGGCAGTAGTCCCCTTGTGGCAGTAGTCCTGTCATGTGTGGCAGTAGTCCCTTGTGGCAGTAGTCCTGTCATGTGTGGCAGTAGTCCCTTGTGGCAGTAGTCCTGTCATGTGTGACAGTAGTCCCTTGTGGCAGTAGTCCTGTCATGTGTGGCAGTAGTCCCTTGTGGCAGTAGTCCTGTCATGTGTGGCAGTAGCCCCTTGTGGCAGCAGTCCTGTCATGTGTGGTAGCAGTCTTTCACATTTAATCTCAGCCTGGGCAAGAGATATTAATGTTTTTAATGTTTTGTGAACATCTCTGAGGTATCTTGTACAACATCAACATCTTGGTGTTTACTGGTTCCTGAAATTAAGACACATGTGCAACATCTGGGTATCTTCATTGTAGACGTTCCGCCATCCAGTGGCTTTCTCAATACAAATTCCAGGACATAACTTGAAGACAGGAGAACTATGTACAGAAGATGAGGTCATCAGTCCCTCAACCTAGCAGTAGGTGCGAAGAGCACCGTAGTCGTGGAGATTCTGAAGCAGAAGCAAGGCGCCTGACGCTTATATAGTTACTTCAGGTGGAAATGCTTCTGCTTCAGAATCTCCACGACTACGGTGCTCTTCGCACCTACTCCTAGGTTGAGGCACTGATTACCTCATCTTCTGTACATAGTTCTCCTGTCTTCAAGTTATGTCCTGGAATTTGTATTGAGAAAGCCACTGGATGGCGGAACGTCTACAATGAAGATACCCAGATGTTGCACATGTGTCTTAATTTCATCTTGTCGGTATTGTATACCATTCTTGTACAGTGGTTCCTGGTACAACATATTGGTGTTTAGTGGTTCCTGGTACAACACCTTGGTGTTTAGTGGTTCCTGGTACAACACCTTGGTGTTTAGTGGTTCCTGTACAACATCTTGTGTGTTTAGTGGTTCCTGGTACAACACCTTGGTGTTTAGTGGTTCCTGGTACAACATCTTGGTGTTTAGTGGTTCCTGGTACAACACCTTGGTGTTTAGTGGTTCCTTGTACAACACCTTGGTGTTTAGTGGTTCCTGGTACAACACCTTGGTGTTTAGTGGTTCCTGGTACAACACCTTGGTGTTTAGTGGTTCCTGGTACAACACCTTGGTGTTTAGTGGTTCCTGGTACAACACCTTGTGTGTTTAGTGGTTCCTGGTACAACACCTTGGTGTTTAGTGGTTCCTGGTACAACACCTTGGTGTTTAGTGGTTCCTTGTACAACACCTTGGTGTTTAGTGGTTCCTGGTACAACACCTTGGTGTTTAGTGGTTCCTGGTACAACACCTTGGTGTTTAGTGGTTCCTGGTACAACACCTTGGTGTTAATGGTTCCTGGTACAACATCTTGGTGTTTAGTTGTTCCTGGTATAACACCTTGGTGTTTAGTTGTTCCTGGTACAACACCTTGGCGTTTAGTGGTTCCTGGTACAACACCTTGGTGTTTAGTTGTTCCTGGTACAACACCTTGGTGTTTAGTTGTTCCTGGTACAACACCTTGTGTTTTAGTGGTTCCTGGTTACAACACCTTGGTGTTTAGTGGTTCCTGGTACAACACCTTGGTGTTAATGGTTCCTGGTACAACATCTTGGTGTTTAGTTGTTCCTGGTACAACACCTTGGTGTTTAGTGGTTCCTGGTACAACACCTTGGTGTTTTGTTGTTCCTGGTACAACACCTTGGTGTTTAGTGGTTCCTGGTACAACACCTTGGTGTTTAGTGGTTCCTGGTACAACAAACCCTTTGGGGTTTAGTGGTTCCTGGTACAACACCTTGGTGTTTAGTGGTTCCTGGTACAACACCTTGGTGTTAATGGTTCCTGGTACAACACCTTGGTGTTTAGTTGTTCCTGGTACAACACCTTGGTGTTTAGTGGTTCCTTGTACAACACCTTGGTGTTTAGTGGTTCCTTGTACAACACCTTGGTGTTTAGTTGTTCCTGGTACAACACCTTGGTGTTTAGTGGTTCCTTGTACAACACCTTGGTGTTTAGTGGTTCCTGGTACAACACCTTGGTGTTTAGTTGTTCCTGGTACAACACCTTGGTGTTAATGGTTCCTGGTACAACACCTTGGTGTTTAGTTGTTCCTGGTACAACACCTTGGTGTTTAGTTGTTCCTGGTACAACACCTTGGTGTCTATTGGGTCTAATACAGTATTTTATTATTCAAAATTTCTTTCGTACTGCGTCTTGTCACTTGTTGTTTTATTCAGTGCAAGTGTCTTAGTTATCCGGAGTTCGTCTTAAGTATACAACTCTTTCTTCGTTAGGTATCACCGGTAAGTCTCCGGGTCTTCAGCAGGTGAGTGTTCCTCATGAATCCTCGTCAGTAATTTGCCTGGTCTTCTCCTTGTGAATCTTGGCATAAGTCTGTTAACATATTCCCTTCTCATGTTAAATGCCACGTTAAACGTGATAAATTGGTTGTGCTAAAGCAAGGAGTCATTGCTCTCGTGATATTTCTTGCATAAAATTTAGCTCTCGTAAAGGAAGAATTAGCATTACAAAAGAGACGAGGAACCTTCAACTGTCTGGTTCTGGTGAGTTAGTGTGCTTTCAAGCTGGTGACTTCCGGTACCCGCACCAGTCACCAGGCTGACTGTGGCTTCCTGAAGTTGGTGATGGTCGTGGCAGAGACTTCGAAGGAATGTTTGCTATGCTCCAGTAATTACTTTTATTCTTTTATTTACGTTTTGAAAGGGTGACAATTAGTTCAAATAATGCATAACTTGTATGGCCGACCTAATATCTAATTTTAAATAAGATGCAAAATCGATCCCAATCTTCGAGAACTTTCTGTTTAATTCAATTATATTTGACTATTCTTAATTTTATCCAATGACAGAAGCAAGAATACTATCTTAAGCCTGTTCTCTTATGGTTTTTAATAAGTTAAGTATAACAAGGCAGGTACTTACCTTCTTAAGAAGAGGACTTTTGAAAGCCTTGCCCTGGAGTTGGTCGATGAAGTTCTGTCCGAACTTCTGGAGCGAGGCGAAGGACCAGTGAGCGCTGAGGTCAGTGCCGTCAAGTTCGGTGTCTTTCTCCCCGAACTGCACCACCCGGAACACCCCGTGGCTGGGCGGCGTACCTGTAACACAGCCCAGGTTGACCTCCTCCTTACTTTGTTATCTGGCTAGTTAGTTTACTTTATCCTAGCCTTCCTATCTTCCCTCTCTACTTTCCTTCTCGTTACCTGGCTAATTTCTACACTTTCTTCTTGCCTTTTTTACGTTCCCTCTCACTGCCTTTTAAATCACGTCATTTTCTCTAGTTTTCTTAGCGTCTCTTTCTACCAATACTCTTATTACCTTATTAGTAACACTCTTTTCTTCCGTTCTTCTTACCTTCCTCCTCACTATTTTCTTCTATCCTCCTATCTTCCCTTATCCAGGTCTCCTCTTCCTCCCCTCTCATCGTCTCGTTTCTTACCCCTCATTCCAGTAACGGACCAACATTTTCGGGACCGTGAAGCTTACACTGTTATGGTCACCTTCACAACCAGCAATGGCTACCCTACATGATACTTTAATAACCTTTTAAATTTTATTTATCTATTATTTGGTATTGAATTATATTATATTAATAACATTATTATTTGTAAACACCCCATCTCACCCAGTAGACCCAAAATTTTTAAGCAATGTTGACTAAAGTCGCTTCTTGGGCCCCTCCGGGGCGTAAGTTCCCCCGTCTTCTTAAGAGACACGTAAGTTCCCCCGTCTTCTTAAGAGACACGTAAGTTGCCCCGTCTTCTTAAGAGACACGTAAGTTCCCCCGTCTTCTTAAGAGACACGTAAGTTCCCCCGTCTTCTTAAGAGACACGTAAGTTCCCCCGTCTTCTTAAGAGACACGTAAGTTCCCCCGTCTTCTTAAGAGACACGTAAGTTTCCCCGTCTTCTTAAGAGACACGTAAGTTGCCCCGTCTTCTTAAGAGACACGTAAGTTCCCCCGTCTTCTTAAGAGACACGTAAGTTCCCCCGTCTTCTTAAGAGACACGTAAGTTCCCCCGTCTTCTTAAGAGACACGTAAGTTCCCCCGTCTTCTTAAGAGACACGTAAGTTCCCCCGTCTTCTTAAGAGACACGTAAGTTCCCCCGTCTTCTTAAGAGACACGTAAGTTCCCCCGTCTTCTTAAGAGACACGTAAGTTCCCCCGTCTTCTTAAGAGACACGTAAGTTCCCCCGTCTTCTTAAGAGACACGTAAGCTCCCCCGTCTTCTTAAGAGACACGTAAGTTCCCCCGTCTTCTTAAGAGACACGTAAGTTCCCCCGTCTTCTTAAGAGACACGTAAGTTCCCCAGTCTTCTTAAGAGACACGTAAGTTCCCCCGTCTTCTTAAGAGACACGTAAGTTCCCCCGTCTTCTTAAGAGACACGTAAGTTCCCCCGTCTTCTTAAGAGGCACGTAAGTTCCCCCGTCTTCTAATATCACGTTTATTTTCCCACTATAATCTACCTCGCCCATAATTACTATCACATTTTCTTTGTCTGTTTCGTAAAGTGAAGTCCAGGATCTTTACTTAATTCTTGGTATAACTTAACAAATCTTTGAGGACAAATATGTTGCAGAGGTTGCAAAGACCCTGGACTTCACCTTACGAAACAGAGAAAACAAGGTAGATTATAGTGGAAAAATTAAGCTTAAGAGGCACTTACGTGCCTCTCAAGGTTCATTAGCATCACAGTGGCTCTCCTCCTGCCTCTTTCTTCTTGACTCTCCTTTCCTATCATCTCACAACTAGCACACAGTAGCTGCAAAAGCTCACCTTGGATTGCACTTTCTGAAATTTAGAAGTCCGAGTTTATACTCTCCGTGGAGTATGGTCATAGCTGGGCAAGAGTCACTGATTACAGTGAGGTCGGTGTCTGATGTGGTTGTGTGGTGAATGTCTGCTGTGACTGTGTGGTGAATGTCTGCTGTGACTGTGTGGTGAATGTCTGCTGTGACTGTGTGGTGAATGTCTGCTGTGACTGTGTGGTGAATGTCTGCTGTGACTGTGTGGTGAATGTCTGCTGTGACTGTGTGGTGAATGTCTGCTGTGACTGTGTGGTGAATGTCTGCTGTGACTGTGTGGTGAATGTCTGCTGTGACTGTGTGGTGAATGTCTGCTGTGACTGTGTGGTGAATGTCTGCTGTGACTGTGTGGTGAATGTCTGCTGTGACTGTGTGGTGAATGTCTGCTGTGACTGTGTGGTGAATGTCTGCTGTGACTGTGTGGTGAATGTCTGCTGTGACTGTGTGGTGAATGTCTGCTGTGACTGTGTGGTGAATGTCTGCTGTGACTGTGTGGTGAATGTCTGCTGTGACTGTGTGGTGAATGTCTGCTGTGACTGTGTGGTGAATTTCTGCTGTGACTGTGTGGTGAATGTCTGCTGTGACTGTGTGGTGAATGTCTGCTGTGACTGTGTGGTGAATGTCTGCTGTGACTGTGTGGTGAATGTCTGCTGTGACTGTGTGGTGAATGTCTGCTGTGACTGTGTGGTGAATGTCTGCTATGACTGTGTGGTGAATGTCTGCTGTGACTGTGTGGTGAATGTCTGCTGTGACTGTGTGGTGAATGTCTGCTGTGACTGTGTGGTGAATGTCTGCTGTGACTGTGTGGTGAATGTCTGCTGTGACTGTGTGGTGAATGTCTGCTGTGACTGTGTGGGGAATGTCTGCTGTGACTGTGTGGTGAATGTCTGCTCTGACTGTGTGGTGAATGTCTGCTGTGACTGTGTGGTGAATGTCTGCTGTGACTGTGTGGTGAATGTCTGCTCTGACTGTGTGGTGAATGTCTGCTGTGACTATGTGGTGAATGTCTGCTGTGACTGTGTGGTGAATGTCTGCTGTGACTGTGTGGTGAATGTCTGCTGTGACTGTGTGGTGAATGTCTGCAGTAACTGTGTGGTGAATGTCTGCTGTGACTATGTGGTGAATGTCTGCTGTGACTGTGGTGAATGTCTGCTGTGGCTGTGTGGTGAATGTCTGCTGTGACTGTGTGGTGAATGTCTGCTGTGACTGTGTGGTGAATGTCTGCTGTGACTGTGTGATGAATGTCTGCTGTGACTGTGTGGTGAATGTCTGCTGTGACTGTGGTGAATGTCTGCTGTGGCTGTGTGGTGAATGTCTGCAGTAACTGTGTGGTAAATGTCTGCTGTGACTATGTGGTGAATGTCTGCAGTAACTGTGTGGTGAATGTCTGCTGTGACTGTGTTGTGAATGTCTGCTGTGACTGTGTGGTGAATGTCTGCAGTAACTGTGTGGTGAATGTCTGCTGTGACTGTGTTGTGAATGTCTGCTGTGACTGTGTGGTGAATGTCTGCTCTGACTAGGTGGTGAATTTCTATTGTGACTGTGTGGTAAATGTCTGCTGTGACTGTCTGGTGAATGTCTGTTGTGACTATTTGGTGAATGTCTACAGTAACTGTGTGGTGAATGTCTGCTGTGACTATGTGGTGAATGTCTGCTGTGACTATGTGGTGAATGTCTGTTGTGACTTTGTGGTGAATGTCTGCTGTGACTATATGGCGAATGTCTGTTGTGACTGTGTGGTGAATGTCTGCTGTGACTATGTGGTGAATGTCTGCTGTGACTATGTGGTGAATGTCTGTTGTGACTTTGTGGTGAATGTCTGCTGTGACTGTGGTGAATGTCTGTTGTGACTGTCATTCTCACATACAATAATGAGCGGAGGGTCTGCTGTAGCAACACACACAACAGTGAGCAGTGTCTGCTGTAGAAATACACATAACAGTAAGGGGAGGGTCTGCTGTAGCAACACTGACACAGTGTGCAGTGTCTGCCGCAGAAACACGCAACATTGAGCAGTGTCCTCTGTAGCAACACACACACGAGAGTGAACAGTGTCTGCTATAGCAATACACACAACAGTGTGCAGTGTCTGCCGTAGCAACACGCACATAACAATGTGCAGTGTCTGCTGTAGGAGTACACAAATGTGTAGTGTCTGCTGGAGAAACACACAACATTGAGCAGTGTCTGCTGGAGAAACACACAACATTGAGTAGTGTCTGCTGTAGCAACACACAAATGTGTAATGTCTGCTGTAGCAACACACAAGTGTTCAGTTTCTGCTGAAGCAATACACAAGTGTGCAGTGTCTGCTGTAGTAACACACAAGTGTGCAGTGTCTGCTGTAGCAACACACAAGTGTGCAGTGTCTGCTGTAGTAACACACAAGTGTGCAGTGTCTGCTGTAGTAACACACAAGTGTGCAATGTCTGCTGAAGCAACACGCAAGTGTGCAATGTCTGCTGAAGCAACACGCAAGTGTGCAATGTCTGCTGTAGCAACACAAAAGCGTGCAGTGTCTGCTGTAGTAACGCACAAGTGTGCAATGTCTGCTGTAGTAACACACAAGTGTGCAAGATCTGTTGTAGTAACACACAAATGTGCAGTGTCTGCTGTAGCAACACGCAAGTGTGCAGTGTCTGCTGTAGCAACACAAAAGTGTGCAATGTCTGCTGTAGCAACACACAAGTGTGCAATGTCTGCTGTAGCAACATACAAATGTGCAATCTCTGCTGTAGCAACACACAAGTGTGCAATGTCTGCTGCAGCAACACAAAAGTGTGCAATGTCTGCTGTAGTAACGCACAAGTGTGCAATGTCTGCTGCAGCAACACAAAAGTGTGGAATGTCTGCTGTAGCAACACAAAAATGTGCAATATCTGCTGTAGCAACACACAAGTGTGCAATGTCTGCTGTAGCAACACACAAGTGTGCAATGTCTGCTGTAGCAACACACAAGTGTGCAATGTCTGCTGTAGCAACACACATGTGTGCAATGTCTGCTGCAGCAACACACAAGTGTGCAATGTCTGCTGTAGCAACACACAAGTGTGTGCAGTGTCTGCTGTAGCAACACACAAGTGTGCAATGTCTGCTGTAGCAACACACAAGTGTGCAATGTCTGCTGTAGCAACACACAAGTGTGCAATGTCTGCTATAGCAACAAACAAATGTGCAATGTCTGCTGTAGCAACACACAAGTGTGCAATGTCTGCTGTAGCAACACACATGTGTGCAATGTCTGCTGCAACAACACACAAGTGTGCTTTCTCTGCTGTAGCAACACACAAGTGTGT